GGGGCCAGTTTCCGAAATTGTGGAAGACGGGGAAACTGGTCCTCATCTGAAAGAAGGGGCGCCCGGCGGACTCACCGTCCGCCTACCGGCCCATAGTGTTGCTTGACGAGGTGTGCAAGCTCTTTGAAAGAGTGATTGCAAGGCGCCTCGTCAAGCATCTCGTGATGGTGGGGCCGGATCTGGAGGACAACCAGTACGGTTTCCGTCAGGGGCGCTCCACCGTGGATGCGATCATGCGCATGAAGGCAGCGGAAGCAGTTTCCCGGGGCGAAGTGGTGTTGGCAGTGTCCTTGGACATTGGGGAAGGAGACGGCGGAGCGGGACCGGGAGAGGTTTAGGACTCTCCCGGCTCGCCAGGCCCGGGAACGGGCCAGGTACCGCAGGCGACTCGGGTGCCGTCCGGTCGCAGAACGACCTTCGTCCTCCATAAGCGAAGGCCTAGCAGAAGCAGGCCGGGGTGGCGGCGAGCGCGTTGTGAAGCGCGCTCGCTTCCAGGGAGCAGAGGGAACATGGGGTTCCCACACGGGGGGGCGTCGTCTACCTGTTGCTGTAGATGGCCCGAGGTATGTCGGAGCACCAGGGACTTCCTTTCTAGGGTATACCTGGTTCCTCAGCTATTAGTACCCGAGACGGCGTGCGGCTTTAGTCGGTTCGAGACCTACATGCCACCGGTGGTATCCGAGGGGATTTCCTCACGAAAAAAAAAGGGTGGAAAATCTCGTCACGAAAAAGGCACACAAAATTAGAGGGGAGCAAGGAGCCAGGAGTATAGGAGTATGTGGTGTTTCCAGTACACACTGGTGTTTCAGTATTTGTTTTAGTTATTTTAGAACTTGCTTAGGATCAAAACAAAATATTTACTAATTTGTTATGTAGTTTACAAATATTGTCTCAACAAAGCTTACGAGATTCCTATGCATAGCTCTTTTTATTGAAAAAGAAAGCAGTCAATATTACAAACAAAACTAAACCTTTGTCATCATCATCAGCCCATCGCAGTCCACTGCTGGACATAGGCCTACCCCATTGCACGCCACTTAGATCGATTTTGGGCTTTTCGCATCCAACTCCTGCCAGCCATTTTGCACAAATCGTGTTACCGTTAACGACGCCTCTGTATATAAGAATCTACATATATTGGCCCCGTTTACACGTGAGTTGAAATGGGTTGATAATATAACTATATAAATATATATAAACATATATTGTGTATACAACATAGATAAATATTCATGACGGTACTTTTCGAATCGAAAAAAAAACCTATTTTAATCAAAAATATTTAAATTTTCAAGTTTTCACTTCTGGTGGCACTCCCGGCGTGCTACTGTTTTTTTGTTAGATAGACGCTTGTACGTAAATTAGGTTTTGTCATAGTTTTTGTATGGTAGAGATCAAGAACAGCATTCAATTGTAAATCCACATACTTATGTAAGTCACAATAAGTTTTTTTAGAATGCTACGGAACCCGTTTTTGCAAGTACGAATCGCGCTTGCTTTTTTATTATGATCACATGCACAATGGAACAAATTTCACTCAAGTGCCATTCGGTGAAGTAACATGCAAACTTGGATTGGATTTAACGTTTTTCTTCAGTTTCTCTTTTTTAACCTGAGAACCCAAAATATCGATAAAGTCATAAACATTGTAAACAAACATTATTATTTCTTTCTTCAGTTTCTCTTTTTTAACCTGAGAACCCAAAATATCGATAAAGTCATAAACATTGTAATCAAACATTATTATTGCTTGATGAAGCGTCCTTTTTGGCTATATAATAAAGAACATATACAATATGTTTCGCATAAACCACTACTTTTTATGGTACAGGAGGGAAACGAGCGACGCCTATTTTTAAATCTACTCAAAGAACCAAACAGTTTCATACCATTGATGAAAATGCTTACCTTACATTGATGAAAATACCAACGTACGATTAATAAAATATCATAATAGATAAAATGCTCACGTAAATAAATCACGTTAAAGATCTATCCATCGACAAAAGAGATAATGTTCAAAGGGTTATGCTTCCCTACAGATCAATAACGACGATGTGTTAGTAAATGTTGCACAGTTCGAGTGCGTGTCAGATCACGCACAGGGCAAGAGTCCGTCGGGCACATCGCTATGACCCGTTAAGGAGGTTTTAACCGCGAGGAAACAAGGGGCCCTCTCATACAGACAGACGTAGGTTATCATCGGGGAAGGACCTTCGGAGATCACCCGTGTCTGATCTGCAAGGAGCCAATGCCTTGCAACCACTGCGATTACCTGCCAGGTACCGCAGACAGCTTAGGCGGTGGAGGTCGCCGAACGACCTCCGTCCACCAGAAGCGCAGGCCTGGTAGTGACAGGTAACGCCATTTGTCAGACAAGTGTCAAGGGGTTGGTGTATACATAGGTATGCAATTTTCAGGTTTTTGGATTCCTTTTATAGTTTGGGCATGTGAAAAGTGAAGAAGTGTGGAATTGATGCTTTTCTTCTCGTATATATATGAAAATGTATCTAATTTAATTTAATATTTGTAATTGTGTGTATGTGTGGAATGTAATATCTATTGTATGGAAATACCTTAATTTAATCATTATTATTATTATTTACGCGTAGTTGTAGGTTAACTTTAACAGGACTTTAGGATTTAGAGTGCAATAAATAAGTACCAGTAATTATTAATAGGAATATCAATTGTCATTAGAAAAGTTAAAGGTCCTTTAGCTGATGTAACTTTAGACGGTTTCTATACAAAGATATTTATGTTAGAAACTGTGCTTATAAAACATATCTACAGGAAGAAATTAACATCTCAGTACTCACGCGATGTTATACTGGAACAAAAGGAAAACACTAATAATACTACTAATTGACTGTTTTATCCTGGTTTGAAATATTAAAAAATAACATTGCAACAACTTTACGACGACGCTCTATAAGACACACATATTATAAATAGGAAAGGATAAAAATAGTTATTGAAACAAGTAAAAAAATATTTTATTGCCTATTGAAATTCTCATACTTTTTTCCCCACTTATATTGTCAAAATAGACAGGTTAATAATTAATAAGTAAAGGTAACTAATAAGTATACACCGCAGACGTGGACAATGTGCGAGTTGGAAAAGAAAAAGAGGTGCTGGAGGAAAATGTCAGAATGCCGCACCAACGTGTCCATACTCCAGGAGCACAGCATCACAGAGCGTTTGTCAACCACAGTACAGTTGCGCATATTGCAGTACTTTGGCTATGTCTCTAGACGGAATAGCACCTCCATAGAGGGATGGGTAGTGCAGGGACAGGTGGACCAGGGAAAGGCACAGACAGTCTGCAAACAAGGCGAGATGGTGGGAGATTGTATGAAGGGCTGTGTCCGCCTCTATCACCGACGTGGACATCTCAACATGACCACGACCGCTCTGCCAAGAGTGACACGACAGAGAAGAGAAGAAGAAGTAAAGGTTAGTATTGTAATTCACTGCAGTACGTTTTATTTTTTAATATACCTACCTATAATAGGAAATCTGCTCCCACCAACACCATAACACATGTCTTGTGGCTTGCATTTTTTAGATGGTATGCTGTTGCAAAGCTGTAAAATGTTGTTTAAATGTCAACAATGGGTGAATAATTTGATTTAATAACAATAAAATAATCACCGCGCTGTGTTACTCTGTAAAATATTTGACAAAGGTACCGAAACCAATTCCGATAAAGCTTTTCTTTTATCTCTTAATCAATAAAAATCATTGTTGTTATTCAACTCAAGAAACGCGTGACTATTCTTCTTCGTTATCATCTGATAACGATGATCTGTCCAGGGATATTCATCATCAACTTGACGTTTCGAACCATGCCAAATGATAGACATGTAGCTATCAATTAATAATAAATCTGTGACGCACTTGCTATTCAAATCTTCAGTTCACGGTTCGGTAAGATATAAAAAATATTGTAAGCTTGATGAAGAAAATTAGAAACCTAAGAAAATTAGTAGGAATTTATGATATGGTACGTATAAAGCACGCACGTGTAAATTATATGCAAAAAAGTTTCGTTTGAGGGACACTACACGAGCCATCTTGGCTCGGCTATACACTTCATCCAATGTTCAATGCCTCTACCCACCCCGATGTAAAAATTTCTAAATTTACTTTGTAGCAACTAAAACTTTGTGAGAAAGTTGGTTGATGCCAGATAAAGTAACGGACTTATTAAACTATATTTAATTAGATTATAATCAGATTAGATTCCTTCTTTTTTAATTATTACGATTATTTCCAACCATGGCCATGTGTATCGATAATAAATGAATAGCTGAATAGAAATACCACGTTTTTCTAATATGATTTAAATATTAAAACTTTTAATATTTGATGTAGTAAGGTTTTAGCTGGTTTACATTGCGATATAATCAAATCTTGAGGTGAAAAAAAAACTGTTTGTCAGGGTATATAGACAGAAATATAAAGGCTCCGCTTGTTTCTAGTTCTATTAATCTACATAATATGTTAGCGAAACTGATGACAAACATTGGTGTTTGATTAACAATTGTGGTCAAACAGTGCTTAAGGTTTTTTCGTTTCAATGTCAATGGCGGTGTGAATTATTATTACTTATTTATATTTGTTGTGATAATTGTATTTGATGTTCGTACATAGAGCATTGGCATGATTTTTTCAAGTGGTTATCACTGGTAGTTAGCGTACTAATTTGGCGAGGTTCTCACATTGAGGTTAGTGAGGCTGTGATATTGGATCATCTCACATGACCGGCGTTCCGTCAATGCGATTGTAATCAAAATAGGTGGTAGGTAGGTGGTATTGGTGCAGTCATTCTAGGCAGCCAAGAGGAGTTGGTCGCCGGTGCTGTACGTACATCTCAGAGTACACACCGCGTGTTTGTGTATATTCATGTTTATAGTCAGTGCGATTTAATAGCGGGACCATTGTTGCTGCAATTATATCTGTATTTACAAACATTACAGCGACATTGGTACACGATGATCAAAATATCACCGGCTCTTTTAAAACAGGTTAGTTGCTAATTTTATATTTTAAAGTTATATTTTATAAGTATAATTTTATATTGTTAAAATGTTGATTAATTTTAAAATAAATATATTAACATTCCTATAGCTATACTTTTTTACTCATTTTTAATACTTCTACAAGCCCATATAATTTTATATTAAATAAAAATTTAATACGATAAATGTATTTCAATATTAAATTTGTTTATTTATAAGTAAAGGTTAGTATATGATGGCGTAAAATGCATAAAAATTTATATCGTCGCAGACACATTTTATTTGTAAAAATATATTAAATTTTTGACAGTAACCTGCAAATACCACATCAAAATCTATAACTAAAAATGAAATCGTTCTACTTGATAGGACGGATGTCGTTTGAATCTTCACTTTCCAAACTTTCAAATTATTTCTTTTCACACACTATGTTTGTTTGGTTTGGGAATATTGTAATGATAATATTTACATAGCATTTTATTAATTAGTGCATAATCACTATGCGTACAATAACTCAGGTCTGTGTATTAGAGATCACTAAGAAAAAAAACATGAACAATAAAAGGTACCACATTTTTTTTAAATTTGTTAATCTGTTTTTTTAGTAGGCTCATTAATCAAAAACTCTTACACGAATTTATCCTGTAAAATTTGTATCTTGGTGGGAATTTTTGTAACATTAATTTCATCAATCACTTAATTTAACACACCTTTGATTTGCTTAACGTTTTAGTTTGCATTGGCCTTGGGCACAGGTAATTGTTTATAAAACATAACAATGCTTTTTGTACAGTTTTTGTATACATTCCTAAATAAAACAAAGACAAGACACGTGCGATATGAAATAGTGTAAAGTGGTAATTCCTTCCTCCGATCCTTTTCTCCAAACTAGGTTGGGGTCGGCTTTAAAGCCTACTACGGTTATCTACGGTTGAACTTCGATTTTTTACGTGGAGCGACTGCTATCAAACCTCCACAACCAAAGTACTAGGCGATATTGAAATTCTGTAGAAAGATTGTTGTCGCACTTTTTTAAAAAGTGTAAAGTAGTCGAAGAATATAAATAAGTGGTGTGTTTTATGTATCACTTTCTGCTTATATGCAAATGTTTACCTCGTGAGAGCAGTGCTCAGTGAGTGATTAATACCTCAGCCTCACAGAAAACGGGCGATAAGCATTTCTTTCGTTCCTTCATCTCTCCTTCGTCTCCCTTTCTAACTCCAATTCCAAGAATTTTGGGGACCCTCTCTCCACAATAACACAAAGCACTTGTGTTTCCTGAGTTGCATGTGTCTACGGGCGGTGCTAGTCACTCATCATCAGTTGACCCGCCTGGGCCTCAATCCTGCTATTGTAATATTGTATCAATAGACTTTGCTTTTTCATATTCAAATAACTATGTGAGACCAATGGCCTCCATAGGACTTGACATTGAACTGCTACTAATACAAATGACGTCGATGTCTTTGTAATAGTTTGGTAAAGGGTATATTTTGTAAGGAAATGATATATTTAATTTGCCACATATGGCAATGTTGTTGAGATCACGATGAGCCATTGTTACTACATCGACAGTATTACATACATCACACTGTGAAGTTATGTTAGTAAGAGACCGATATTTTGACCGATGTCAATGACATCTCAACGGCGTGTCTAGGGAATAAATGACAGTGGCTTGTACATTAACATAAAATAGAAAAATTAGGCCTACGCATCTAAAATAAGGATTAGGATCTACACAGTTGACGATGACGTGCCCGAGGTCACTTAGGCGGGACATAGGGTGGCGGTGCTACGGCTTACAGCCAAGAACACCGCCCCGGGACCCGATGGCATTCCAGGCCGAGCGTGTTTCCTGGCCCTAGACGACGTAGTTCTCGAGCACCGGTAGGGCTCTTTAGCGCATGCCTCGAGCGGGGCCAGTTTCCGAAATTGTGGAGACGGGGAAACTGGTCCTCATTCGAAAGGAGGGGCGCCCGGCTGATTCACCATCCGCCTACGGGCCCATAGTGTTGCTTGACGAGTTGTGCAAACTCTTTGAAAGAGTGATTGCACGGCGCCTCGTCAAGCACCTCTTCAAGGTGGGCCGGATCTGGCGGACAACCAGTGCAGTTTCCGCCAGGGGTGCTCCACCGTGGATGCGTGGACCGTGGGCGAAGTGGTGTTGGCGGTGTCCTTGGACATCGTGAGACAACCCTGTGGGCCAGGGCCGGGGTTGCCCAAGTCGTAGAGCGGATCCGGCGGCTGGGTCTCGAGGTGGCTCTGCACGGCGCGGCTGCTGCCTAACATGAGGAGACCCGATGACTCCTGCAGGAGACTTATGGGGCCACAGTATGGGCGGGAGCCCTGAATTCCAGCAACGTCGCACTACTGCGACGATGACTGATGGCAGCGATTGCTGTCCATCAGGGTCATAAGGGGGTACCGCACGATCTCATTTGAGGCGGCGAGTCTCCTGGCCGGAACTCCACCGTGGGACCTGAAGGCGAGAGCCCTTGCGGCTTTATATCGGTGGCGCAAGGAGGCGCGGGAGTTGGGTCTGAGTCCTGAGACTCGAGAAATCGAGGATCAGAAATCCTAGCTCCGCCAGGTCCTCGAAGAAGAGTGGAAGGAACGACTTGGGCAACCGAGCGCCGGGCACGCCGTTCTTGCGGCGGTAAGACCCGTTATGGAGGATTGGCTCGAGAGGCGTCACGGAATTCTCTCATACTGACTGACGCAGGTGATCACCGCGAAAGGTTGTTTCGGAGATCAACTGTGTGTGATACGCAAGGAGCCAACGCCTGAGTGCCACCACTGCGATGGCCGGACCGTGGACACGGCTCCCCACACGTTGGCAGAATGCCCGGCGTGGGTGGAGCAGAGGCGTGACCCCGTGGTGGCCATCGGGATGGAAGTCCTCTCGCTCGGTAGTATGATTGCCCCCATGGTACGGAGCGAGAGTGCGTGGAACTCCGCCGTCTCCTTCTGCGAGCAAGTTATGCATGCGAAGGAGATGGCGGAGCGGGGTCGGGAGAGGTTTAGAACTCTCCCGGCCCGCTAGGCCCGGGAACGGACCAGGTACCGCAGACGACTCGGGCGCCGGAGGAGGAGGAACAACCTCCGTCCTCCATAAGCGCAGGCCTGGGGGTGACAGATGAGGCCATCTGTCACCCTAGCAGAAGCAGGCCGGAATGGCGGCGAATAGAACTAAACTTGGTTCCAAAAATAACGGGTCAGTCACATAAACCCGAATATCTCCCGAACTACGTGTGCCATCCTAATGAAACGAAGACTGTTCAATTGAGAATTTAATTATACAGATAAAAAATAAAATAAAACTTAAATCTAAACTCTCTAAATCTTAACTTATCTCTAAATAAAAAAAAAAAAACCAAAGTAGTCATATTTTTCTTAAGATTACATTTTTTTATGATTGTTTTTTTGCTGTTTTTCATCACTTTCTTCATTTAATACTTTGTATTGCCTCCACGAGCTTTTCTGACAGCTTCCAGGCGATTAGGCATTTCGGATTCAAATTCAAAATTCAAATCCAAATTTCGGAGCCGGTGCTGAGGAATACCTTCCCATTCCTCCACCAATGCTTGTTTTTTTTTTTTTTTTTTTTTTTTAAAATAGACAACTCCCGCATTAGGAATAAATCCTGTGTCGCGGGGGACTTTACAAACATACATGAAACGGACACAAAGAACACCCAGACTCAGAACAACAATTTGTGGATCACACAAAGTGTCGTCCCATGTGGGGTTTGAACCCACAACACCCGGCGTAGTAGGAAGCGGCGTGGTGACCGCTTAAACCACTACGCCATCCGTGCAGTCGTTTGAGCTCGGGAAGCGTGATTGGTGATTGGGTTTAAGTCCGGGCTTCGCGCTGGCCACTGTATGAGTTCGATACCGACCTCTTCAAGGTAGTCATGCACAATTCTGGCGGTATGGAGACGCGCATTATCATGCATTAATATGCCATGCCGGTCCATCCTGGCCATGAAAGGACCTACATGTTCATTGAGGATCTCTTCCACGTACCTCTCTGCATTTAGAGTTCCATTTTGAATGAGTACCGGCTCGGTGCGGGCCTCAGTAGAAATCCCAGCCCAAACTTGTACGGAGCCTCCACCGTACGCCACTTTTTCCTCCACACACGCTTGATGGAAGCGCTCCCCTGGTCTTCTGTACACCAACTGCCTACCATCATGCTTATAAAGCATGAATTTAGACTCGTCCGTGAACATTACCCTAGACCAATCGTCTAGTGTCCAGTTTAGGTGCTCGCGCACGTATCACTGTCTTGCAATTCGATGTCCCCGTTCCAGTTTGGGGCCATTTGCGGGCCTCAATGGTTTTAAATTTGCTTCAGCAAGACGTCTTCTTACTGTTTGAGCGCTTAAATTGCTACCTCCAAAGCGAATAAAGTGAGTTTTACGATTTCGGAGCATTGTAGCCACCAGTTGTCTGTCTTCTCTGGCCGTTGTGCATCTTGGTCTGTCATTTCCTGGTCTTCTAAGGTGTGATCCGGTCTCTTGGTACCGCTGGACTACCCGCTGAACAGTCGACAAAGATACACCAATGTTTCTGGCTGTTTCACGCTGGCTCCGCCCAAGTTCCGACAAAGTTAGGATTCTGGTACATTCCTCTAGCGTGACTGCCATGCTTCACCTCATAGAATAATAATTATGCACTTGGAAGAAGTTCACGATATTTTTTTTGTGACAGAATAGAAATGGAAAGCATCTATAATGAAATGAAACAAAAATATTGTTTTTAAAAATAGTCATTTTTTTAAATTTTGTTTTTCTAATGAAGCTTTTTCATCAACCAGTTTAAATAATATGCTATTAGAAGCGCAACTAAAAAGTCTTTATTCTGATTTTTATTTCATTGATCTAACTTTTACAGTTCTGGAGGTATTTCAATTTTTGTGACTGACCCGTAATTTTTGGAACCGAGTGTATTATAGGTATCTTTGTCAGCAAAATATTCAAGAAAATTAGAGACGTTTGT